ACACACAGATGAGTCACAGGATCTAATTTGCAAAGTAGAGGAGTGACTAAAGGAGTAACCTGGACATCATTTGCATAGGAAGTGTTGCATGTAAGGAAGTTCCATCCCAATAACTAGTGAGAAGTAGCGGATGCATAATAATCCCCCACGAGAAAAAGGATGCATAAGATTCCCCCCACGAGAAAAAGGGAGGCTACCAAGGTGAATGAAAAGAAAGGGGAAGCTTCCGAGGTCTTGTTTGACACTTTCTGGGGGGCAATGCCTGCCAGAAACCGGGCCAGCAGCAGGTCACGGAGCATCTCTTTTGCAAAATTGCACATCACCCACCCTGGTGTGCTGCACATCACCCACCCTGGTGTGCAGCACATCACCCACCCTGGTGTGCTGCACATCACCCACCCTGGTGTGCTGCACATCACCTACCCTGGTGTGCTGCACATCACCCACCCTGGTGTGCAGCACATCACCCACCCTGGTGTGCTGCACATCACCCACCCTGGTGTGCTGCACATCACCCACCCTGGNAACCTTGGGCTTGTTGTGTCTGAGGAACTTGCGTTGTTTTTTCCAAATGAAAACCAACCTTGGGCTTGTTGTGTCTGAGGAACTTGCGTTGTTTTTTCCAAAGGAAAACCAACCTTGGGCTTGTTGTGTCTGAGGAACTTGCGTTGTTTTTTCCAAATGAAAACCAACCTTGGGCTTGTTGTGTCTGAGGAACTTGCGTTGTTTTTTCCAAAGGAAAACCAACCTTGGGCTTGTTGTGTCTGAGGAACTTGCGTTGTTTTTTCCAAATGAAAACCAACCTTGGGCTTGTTGTGTCTGAGGAACTTGCGTTGTTTTTTCCAAAGGAAAACCAACCTTGGGCTTGTTGTGTCTGAGGAACTTGCGTTGTTTTTTCCAAATGAAAACCAACCTTGGGCTTGTTGTGTCTGAGGAACTTGCGTTGTTTTTTCCAAAGGAAAACCAACCTTGGGCTTGTTGTGTCTGAGGAACTTGCGTTGTTTTTTCCAAATGAAAACCAACCTTGGGCTTGTTGTGTCTGAGGAACTTGCGTTGTTTTTTCCAAAGGAAAACCAACCTTGGGCTTGTTGTGTCTGAGGAACTTGCGTTGTTTTTTCCAAATGAAAACCAACCTTGGGCTTGTTGTGTCTGAGGAACTTGCGTTGTTTTTTCCAAAGGAAAACCAACCTTGGGCTTGTTGTGTCTGAGGAACTTGCGTTGTTTTTTCCAAAGGAAAACCAACCTTGGGCTTGTTGTGTCTGAGGAACTTGCATTGTTTTTTCCAAACGACTCCACCAGAGAGAAGCATGACCTCTACACCAACATGAATGCTGTATCTTCTCGCTGTAGACGCAATCTGCCTTGCCAACTCCCTGCTTGCAGAAATTTTTCACATATTTTACATGCTAAGCATTCAATTCTTTGATGATACCATAGGTATATTAATGACAAGCCAGATGAAAATACTGATGAAAGTATTTACAAACAACACTAATAAATAAAGAAACTTTAGTCACTTAATGAAGAAATTAGTTTATTGCCATAAGAATTTTGCACTTGCAAATGCATACGGAAATCATGCATACAGAAATAGTCATTTTAATGACGAATATTCTATATGAAACATCTCACAGAATGTACTACATATATTGTAGAATTTGTTTAATACTTTTCTGAATTAGCACTAACAAACCAACAATAAATGAAAAAATCAACAGGGAATTAATTTTTACGAAAAAGCTTCAAAATGAAATCTAAAACTGACCGGGTTGGAGCCAGTACAACGGCAACTGGAGAATTATGAGAGAAACATGGGCTGATGGAGGGCAGAACTTCCTGTTGATGTGCCGTGTGGAGCAGCATGGGCAAGACATATGCCAGAGTTTTACCTGATCCCGTCTATTATAAAATTGCAGAAATGGAAATGGAAGAGTTAGTTTCCAATCTAACTGGATGCTGCAATATTTTTTTGTAAATTACTGGCAAAATATTTTTGATGTTGCATTCAATCAGTGTACATATAAAATATTTTGGTTTCTCCAAAAAAGATCTACATTACACCGATCACATCTCTGCCACTCAGGGCCAGGCTCAGTCCCATACTCTGGATGGCAGTTGGCTGTGCGTACTGCTGCTGCAGCAACGTCATGATGGCATCAGGAAGCTCTATGTCTGAAAACTTTTGGACAGGAGGAGGCACATCAATTTTATTTACTCTGATGCCATTTTTGATCATGTACTGTGAAATAGCCTCAGAAGATCTTTGGAGTAGTTGAGGTGTCGGTGAGAAATAATTTTTCTTTATTGGAATTTGCTCGTGGGTATTACTTGTGATGGATAATTTCTTGGGTCTAACTTTTATATAATTATCATAAAATAGTGTTTCATCTCTTTGAATATTTTGATTTATTGGGTTTACAACTTGACTATCAGTGCTTCTATTCTCGGTGGGATCCTCTGGTGCATTAATACTATTGAGCCGGGTACATCCAGAATTAAAGTATCTCAAGTGTTTGAGGAGATGAATTTGAGGCATTTTCCGCCCTGCAGCGGTGGGGAGAGAACTGACTCGAAGCCTGGGGCTGCCTACTGCATGATGATGGTGACCGGGTGCAGTGCAATCTACAGGACCATGCAGACCTAGAAGTCTGAAACATGAAATCATTTTTATCAATTATTGAAGTCACTAAAATCTTTGTAAACTAAATCTTTCAGATTATTCTAGAAATGATTCTATGACAGGGAAATTCAAATAAAAATGTTTGGGGGAGTTATCAATTGACCATTACAACAATCATTTTTATTACAACAATACAAAGTTCTTCAATGAATTACTCCAAATATTTGAATTTCTAAAGCAGGTACCGGTAGTTGCATATCATAGAAGTTAAAAAATGGCAATGAAGGTTAACATGCCATATTACAAATTTAAATGCCATTATCCATTTGAAAATATTAATATTTATCAATTGATACCATAGCCTTCCAGCTTCCATCATGAACTTCTTCTATAGTTTCACTGAATAGTTGAGAATTTTGTCAGAAATTACAGAAAATAATATGAATATTTGCAATATTTGTTCAATCTATAGTCATCAGTTGAAAATTTAAATCTCTTGAGATGACCTTATGGTGTCAAAAATCTTGACATAATAAAATATAAAATATGATTTAATCAGCATCATGATAATCAAAAATATATTACAATACACATGAAATTGACAATCAAGACAGGAAGTTTACAAAAAAAGGCTACATCTAAACAAGCTATGACCTGTTCCTTCCAGGCATTACAGATTCAATAATGTAGAAATCTAATTTTAAAGTAATTCCCACAAATTACCAGAAAAGTACATACCTGACATGTTGTGATAACTGGCACAATGTGCACGGTGATATCCTGAAGAAGATGGAACTATTGGTAGAGAACCTAGGCAGCATGCTTCTAAGACACCACACTTTGAATGGTATTATTACTAATTAAAACAATTCAAACATCTGAAAAATTACCTATTTCAGAAAATGTCAGACTGTTGCTAGGAAATAATCAGCTAAATTATTTTGCTTCAAAATTTCAATGACAACAAAATATTTGAAGGCTTGATTAATAAAATATAAAATTTCTAACCCTTTTTCCTCCCAAATTAATAAATTAAAATAAATAAAATTATTTTTTATTGAGAGCTGTGACATTGTTTCTTGCTAGCTATAGTTTTTCATATCCCAGGATACTATCCTAAACTGGTTTTATGATTTCTTTTGGTGAGTTTATTGAGTTATATTGTGGTTTCCCTTGTTAGCTTTTTATGGTAAATTCAATCAAAAAGCTACAGTCACAACTCACAAGAACAAGAGAGCACTGGCCTATGCAGCATTGCTTGCTATGTGCAAAGAAGTTGATCATACAGCAAACAAAGACATTGTAACGAAGAAAATGAACTCTTTATTGAAAAGAATGTGCCAAAATGAAGTTGTCTTGTCAATGCTGTCTAGTGTCTGGTGCTGTTAGTGATGCTGTCTATCAACCTTCATTGTGGTATTTTTTAAACCATTTTCGGGACCACCTCGTACGTTTGCATCGCTTCAACCAATTATGGTGGCACAAACTGTGATCACTTGATTCACTTCAGCGAGCGCCGAGCAGCACTGCCTCCTCCATTGTTGTGAACACACCAAAAAGTAAAAACTGAAGAAAAGATTGATCGTGTGGACGCTCTTCAATCTTCCTTCAAAATAGCTCAAACCTGGCATGACATGCAACTTATCATCAGTCTTGCTGCTCTTGCATGATGCAAGACTGACAATAAGTTTGAGCATGTGGACTGGGCTTTACAGTTTACTCCAAAGTCCGACCTAACGGTCGACGCTTAGCCTTCAACATAACATAGGCCTACTCTGGCCTAGTGATTTTGGCACTACAGAGTAGGCCTGTGGCCGGTGGCCTGATCACTGATGAAGCTTGTCGCCGATTATTGAACTTTTTGTAACTATTGAACTTTTCGTAAACATTTACCCCGCACCTTGTAGTTGTAAAAGATAGATTCTACAATCATCATGATACATGAATCATGTGGTGCGCTGGTGCCTTACTGAGTTACCGTGCCTACTATACCTCCTAAAGTCTAAACCAATACCAAATCAAATGCCAAATGGTATATCTCTCATGAAAATTTTTTGCATGCTCCAGTCTCCGGAGTCCAGACACATCAAAAGTTTTGGGAGCGCAGCCGTGGGTAACAAAATTGACTCGTAAACAGGCCCTGGGCATAATGCCAAGCAACAGCATGCAATATCTACACATAGCCTCAGACCAATTTTTTTTTTATAATTTGATTTGAAGGCTTCGGGTATGCAGGTAGCACACCTCCCAGCCTGAGCACAACTGGGGGTTTTGGACAGGGCTCCCAGCGCTGGGTTTTTCCACCCAGATCTGGGTTTTTTGGCCATCACCTGAGTGTCTGGGTGTATTTTTCTTTTAAATGGCAAAATCTGTTTTTTTTTTTTTTTTAAGTTAGTTGATTTTAGCCAATAATACAATTGAAATATTCTCAATGCCTTAAATTTGATTATGCAGTCAATACACAATGAATGGAGCAACGCATTAAGCGTCAGACTGTATATTTTCCCCAGCTGACAGACGGTACTGGTATTGTACGCGTTCATTACCGGTATTGAACGCGTTCATTACCAGTCGAAGCAACGGTTCCCAACTTCTCGTCGCGCACTGCACAGTACCGCGCTCGCTATTGACAAGTGACAAGTTATAGTTGTGTCGTGCGTTAAGTTTTACTGTTGCTCATGTACCTATCGGTGCTGTTAAATTAACATACCTATAGTGAACAGTGAAGGCCCCGAAAATGGCAAGTCCCCCTAGAAAAGTAGCTAAAAAATGGTACAAACAGTCTTTTAAAGAAGAGTGGTTACATGAAAAAGACTTTAAGGAGTGGCTGCAAGAAGATTCGAAAGAAAAAGGTGTTTCCTATTGCGCATGTTGTAAAACTCAAATAAAAAATGCTAATAGATCCATGTTGATGGCACATTGTAAGACCTCGACTGTCTCTTATACACATCTAGATGTGTATAAGAGACAGGATATATATATTTATGTGAATTAATTTATGAAATCTATTTGACTCACCATGGATAAATTTATTCTGAGAAATACTAACACAGTTACTTATGCATAGGTTTTCAAGTATTTCCAGTTTCTAGACTAATAATATATTGCAATAACGGCTTTTACAGCTTGTCCAGCTTAGCTACCCACCTTGTTCACAGACGAACAGCGGAGTAGAGACAAACCAAGTTTCATCAACTGCAGCTGCAATAATGGTCCTGAATACTTTGCTATTAACCTTGGATAGAGCGAATTTAAGGTAAAATAATAGTCTATACAAAAAGCGGCGACTATATCGGGCAATTANGGCTTCTGTTGCTCACTCCCAGAACTGTCTCTTATACACATCTAGATGTGTATAAGAGACAGGTCTTGGAGTGGAAACACAGTCTTCAGAATGTGAAATGACTCTAATCTTCAAGATCATTTATAAATTAATAAAAGCAACATTCTTCCTTAAACAGACACTGGTATGCACAGAGAAACTTTCGCTAATAATAATTATGACCTCAGTTACACGTATTCCACATAGGAAATCTCAGGTCCCAAGCTTCTTCGGAAGGTCCCCTTTCCTGTTTCTTGCACGTTGGTTGACCATTGGCATGCCCACTCTTTAACGGTGAGTGACTTCAAGGTGCAGATCCACTCCTCGAAGCACAGTTGAGATCTTGCTGTGCGGTCGTTAGAATGTGCAAGGTTTGATCCTCCTTTTCATTTATAGTCAGTCACCTGGCAGAGCACTGTATCTATGGAAAGCATTCCACCTTGGGTGGAAAGCATTTTTATAAGTGAACCTCCATTTCTAGAATTCCACCCTGCCTACTATACCTAAATTCTAAACCAATACCAAATTGATGTGACCAAGGTTCAAGGTATAAAGGGCCAAGTGAGGTGACACCGTAGTGGGCAGAGCTTTATTACACACTGAGAACACACTGTACAATGGGTTACCACAATGACTTATCTTGTTGCCATACAGGCAAGCTAAACGCTAAATGGTGATTACCACACAAATCAAATGCCAAATGGTATATCTCTCATGAAAATTTTTTGCATGCTCCAGTGTCCAGTCTCTGGAGTCCAGACAGTAGCAGACACATCAAAAGTTTTGGGAGCGGCCCGAGCGCAGCCGTGGCACCCGTGGGTAACAAAATTGACTCGTAAACAGGCCCTGGGCCCCTGGGAGGCTGGGCATAATGCCAAGCAACAGCGTCAGCATGCAATATCTACACAAAGCCTCAGACCAATGAGCTGTGGCCAATGGGCAATGGCCATGGGTAACTCCGGCCATAGTGGCAAACCAGTGCTTTTTTAGAATCAGTTCATTTTTAATTTCCTCATTTACTCAAGATTTTAACTGATTTCTTATGTATGATAATTCTGTATCCAAGTTCCAAGATACTTTACTGGTCTACTTCTAGGACTCAAAAATTAACTTGAGGAAGAGTCTAAAAAACTCTCTGCTTTGCCACTATGACTCCGGCTAACAGTAAATCCGCTTTGCACAACACAGCGAAATTTCTAATATAATTACCACTAGAACCTAGAAGAATGATTCAAAATTGTATGGCATTGCAATCAATGTCACAGCCACTGAGCCACTGCTCCACAGCACAACTGGCCGGAGCGCAACTGCCACGACACTCCGCGACAGGCGGCGCAGGTTAGGTTAGGTTTCGTTAGGAGTACTAGACTACTAGGAGTAGCTAGCTGTTGCGGTAGGGCCAGTTGTGCCCCGGCCTGTGACTGAACGGCGCTGTTGTGGTGGGCGCTTTGTGTCAAAAGCCGTGAAGATGCCCGGCTGCGTTACGCTCTGGAAGGTATATTAATCGCACTGTGGACTTGGGCTATGCTGACCTCTAGCTATCCACCCAAAAGTTTTTTAGTTACGTCTCGGACAAATTTACGGCCGGACTTGCGGCCGGTCTCGCGGCCGGTGTCCAAATTCAGCGAGCATGAAATATCTCCCAAAATAATCAACTAATTCGATTAAACTCTGTACACGTAATAATTAAGACCTAACGGTGATGTTTGGCTCGTGACAATTTTTTTTATTTCACCTTCGTTTTCGAGTTGTACAGATATACGGAGAAACGACCGGCCTTTCTCAGGCCGATATCCAAACTATCATTGACCAAGAGCCGTATACGTAGAGCCGTATAACTCGCAAACCAAGGCAAAATCGAAAATTTATCACGAGCTAAACATCACGGTTGAGAGATTTCAATATTCAAACTTTCGTTTAAATCTGTACAGTAGTTTAGAAGAAATGTCATGCTCACTGCAAATTTCGGCACGTATCGTCTTATAAATCCTTATGAAAGTGAAATTGAAAAAAAAATTCACAAGCTGAACATCTCCGTTCCGGCCGTAAATTCGTCCGACTATCAACCTTCAGTGTTTTACAGCGATGTGTTTTACAGTGTTTAATATCTCTAAATTTTAGAACCGACGAAGAAGCAGGTCTCCTATAGGTCTTCGATAACCAATTATAAACACAATAAGACTCGTACAATTGAATTAGAATTCCGAACTTTGTAATGAGATATTGTTTCAAGACGACGATTGTCTAGATATTGCAAGGAAATATTGTAATTAAGGAATGAAGCAAATCGTCTATATATTTAATCGATCCGCATATTTGATTTATCTGGGCTGCAATGTCGTTGACATAATTTGTTTGGTCAGACAATATGGAATATTTATATTATTTCTTGATTATTTTTACCATTTTAAGCTGTCCGGTAATTTTGATGTCATTTTAACGGTTTCAGCGTTTAGTAGGCCGTAGGCCTGTCGCAGATTCTTAACATCGCAGAACATTCACAGCATTTTGCGGTCTCGAACTTGCAACGCACTGCTACAATTCTGCTGTGCTTAACCGCCCGGCCTCCTCGCCGATTCTGACCAGAAACTGGCGCACAGACCTGGGATCGAACCCGCACCTCT